TCTGAATGTAAATTTCGGTACAGACAGTGTGGTTATAATGCGCTATCACTCCCTTTTCTTTGCTTTGTGTTTTTATCTGATTGCAGATTATTGGCGGAGAGCGCCCTTCTGAATTCAGACGGCCGGGGCTAGGATTCAAAGACAATATTTTAATTTCCTCGTATTCCGTTTGTTCATAAGTGGTTTCGATACAGCCCAATTGTAATTAATATATTTTTTTGTTTCAATCATCATCTTCTGATTACGAGTTGATCCCTTCTTGTAAAATTACTTTTGAATTGAAATTTGGATTTTGAGTTTCTTTTTTACTTGTAACGTTTGCAGTCATTCTGCGATTGTACTCGTTTTTTTTACATTTTTGAATCACATTGCAAACATTTATTTAACAAATCCATCTCATTTCTACTCATATCTACTGATTCCTTTCATCCACAACTTGTTTCTATCCATCTCTTAAAAGTAGCTTCCCATTATTCATGTTGGACATTCAAAGCCTGAAAATTCAAGCTATGTTTGGTGCCTGAAAAACCGAAAAATATTTCAAAACTTGACATTAGAGGTAACCTAGATTGCTTTTTTTTTGGGCTTACAATCTTTAATTGAAAAAGTGAATTAAACCCATTGGATTTTTTGTACGTGATCCGACAGAAGCCCTGTGCTCGAATAACCTCCTAATTTTTAGACTAGCAGTTTGGTTGCAGAGTTACACCCTTCTTGGCATTTGCATGGTAAGAAGTTCAGGATGTCACATTGTTTGCCGGTTCCTCTCGTCAGAAGCCTCCTGTTGCTTCAGAAATTCGGGAAGAAATGACTTCCAGAAGATTTTGAAGTTGGTATATTCGTAGTTGCCGCTTTTCTATTCTTTAACGTACAAACTTGTCTGAAGATCATGTATTGGCAATGAAGTTCATCTGACTTAAATTGAAAGTGCGTTCTGCCCAAGTGAACCAATCAAATCAAAGCCCCAAAATGTATTTTTGAATCAAGTATGCGAAATAAATGCATTTTGTTAGTAGTTCAGAGTCATCATATAATGTCACCACAAGTTTGCTTAAAAATTCTAGGATACGTAAGCAATCGTAAATATTCTTACATGATATCTTACCGTTTATACTTACAGATACTGTTTCTGATTGAGAGTTTGATAGTCTACCACTACTTTCTCGAATGGTCTGTACAATTAACGTTGATCCTTCCTACTTACTGGCTCTTATCTTTGATGCTTGCGTACGTATTTGCATATACGTTCGGTAGAGCACACGAATTTAAAGAAGATCGGGTTATAATTGTGGGACCTATTATGAGTGTTGTAACAGGAATCATGCTATTAGGAGAGGATACGATGGTGGTGGCCTTTTCGAAGATAGCATGTGGAATACTAATGCTTGTAGCTTACCTAAGATAGAAAAAATAAAAATGTTTTCAGCGAGCAACTTTAAAATATCTTCATAAATAAGAAAGTTGGCATTCGAAGTGATTTTTACTATATATATGCGATATGTTTACCTTTATTAGAAACATCTGTGGTTAAAATTTCAACAAAAGCTGTTAATAAATAAGAAAGTTGATATTGCGCAGACTGCGCATGCGCACATTTATCGTAAAGACTGTGTTGGTTCAGAGCTAAAGCTATCGAATTCAAACAGACTGCATTCCGTACGAGATGAGACCTGCAACATATACAGTGCATAATCTAATTGCATGCGGTACTTCCTCCATGGAATAGTTAAATCGATGCATACAGAGCAACAGCACACTGATAACACACTTCCTCGTGAATACATAAATAGATACTTAATAAAACAATATAAAGGCATAATCACTTGTACGGTATAACAAACAAACATAATTCAATAACGGTACATAAACATTCTATTCTATGCAAAATGTAAATAATAACAAATTGCGACATGAAATTCAAAGATTAATAGTATACGAAAGAATTACTACCTGTAAAAACACTTTTCAAACCAAACAAAATAAACGCCAGCCCCGCCATTATTCAAACACAACTCGGATTCCAGTACTGTTTTCCCCCAGGTTTCGTTGTGTAAATTTCGTGTTCTTCGGCAGCTGCGCAGAAAGTCTTGCCTAATCGTAGGGGTATGTTACCACAAATTTAACCCTAGAAACTGGTAGCCCGAAACAGCATTTGGAGTTGAGAATCTGTCATCCGAAACTATAAAACATGAAGTAATTCTATATTGAAGAAGTGTGAACGGAAGTAAAAAAGTAGGAAACTTAAAATGAAATGGAAATTGGATGCCTACCTTAACAAAAAAAAATAAAGTACCAGGCTAGCCCAAAAACTTAGTTTGTAACCCTCAACTGGTAGCATTCTTCTCAAAACCCAGTTCCACCCACCTACCCTTGCAGGTGCAATTACTTCCACTTTTTTATTAAATAAGTACTCAAAACTATGTTCATGATCTCAAACAATAAAGTAAAATAAACTGTGTGGAAAATCCTCACACAGTGTGAGCCCCTAACTTTAAATATATCAAGTGAACCTTTAACACTAAATACAAGATAAACGAACGCGAACGATTTTGGTGCGTAGAATCTAAAACAATTCGTACTTTTTCGATCGGACTTCTCAATCATAAGTTATGGACTAGAAACCAATTTCGAAAGAAAATTCAAAGGGCTGTAACTTTTGAACTAGTAGCCCAATCTCGGAACTGTTTGAAATTATGGATTCTACAGGCCACATTCTATAAGAAAATTTTTTTTCCGGGTCGATCTGAGACAATTTTTTTTTCGGGGCTCAAAGAAAGGCAGTGTATAACCTTCCTTTTTTACCAAAAATCGACTGCACCAAAATTTCTCGGGAAAACACTTTTTCTTATTAATTTTGGTGCGTAGAATCCAAAACAATTCGTACTTTTTCGATCAGACTTCTCAATCAAAAGTTATAGACTAGAAACCAATTTCGAAAGAAAATTCAAAGGGCTGTAACTTTTGAACTAGTAGCCCAATCTTGGAACTGTTTGAAATTATGGATTCTACGGGCCACATTATATAAGAAAATTTTTTTTCCGGGTCGATCTGAGACAAATTTTTTTTCGGGGCTCAAAAAAAGGAACTGTTTGAAATTATGGATTCTACAGGCCACTTAGTCCAGTAACTTTGTTCCTGAAAATGGGGGGTACCAAGCGTCAAATCCGGTAGTTCTCATTTTTTGTGGGTAAAAATCGTCAAAATCTGAAAAGAAAACGAATATTCCTCGGTTTTTAGTATATTTGACTATGTTGCGTTCGCCGCTCGAGGCCGAAAACTTGAATTATACGTTGGGTTAACAACATAAGCAATCCCACAAAAAATCAGAACTACCGGATTTGACGCATGGTCTGATGTATATAGTTACTGGACTATAGCACATGTAACATTTTTTTTAATTCAGCCTTAAATTTAGATCTATTTAGTAACCGTTACGCCATCTGTGCATTTCTCGCGCAAGTTCGTTGTTGTTTAGATCGATTTTGTCGATGTCATTTCATAGTTTGTTATTATTCCGCTAGAGCTCATCCGAATGTACCTTTCTGTACAGTGACTCCATAGAGACAGTGTGGTAATACGGTGGCGTTATTTTCTATTAACAGTTGGGAGATCCGCCATGTTTTGGGCGAATACACCGCATTGGTAGAACATATCACTTAAAAAAGAAATTACCACTGGACTACTTTAATAAACAATTAAGGATATTGAAGATATAATGCCACATAATGCTACAGCGTCCCACGTGATTCAGAAACCAATAAAAATCAGACGTCTATTGCTACCACTGTCTTGTATAGTACCTTCTTGATCTTTCCTTGGTCTACCGCGTGCGCGTTGCTTGTTCCTTGTTTTTTTTTAGAGAAGGTCAAGCTCTCGTGGTGTTTGTAGGCAACTCATTTTTGACCGCACGTTAGATTTTTTAAGTCAACGGTTTATACTTTTATATATTGCTGAATGTCGAGTCAAAAGTTTGTCTTTGCTTCTAAACGTAAATTGAATGATTGCTTTCTTTTGAATGCTTGATACGATTTTTCAGTATTCGTGTTACACGACGTGACAAACGTTAGATTTACTTACTCTCGCACTTTATATGCCGCGCTATCACTATATTGTTTCTTTTATTGTGTTTTTATCCGACTGCAAATTATTGGCAGAAAGCACCCTTCTGAGCTCTGAGAGGTAATATTTTAATTTCGTCGTAACCCGACGTTTTTTTACTCCAAGTGTTTTCAAATTTGCCGATTAAACGTTCATTAATTTCTTTTGATCAAAATAATTCTGTTGAAGGAATCTATGTAATTGATCTGTTCCAAAGACTCTAAGACCCAATGAGATATTTGTAAGAAACTCATTCATTACCAAAGTGCCATTATGGTGTATGTGGAAATCGTCACATACCCTCCCGAACCAGTTTGTCTCTGATAACCGAAATGACAACGTGCAGAAACCACAACAAAATTGATTCATGGCTTATTAAAGATTTATTGTAGCTTTTTCGTTTAAACGGCCCCACAAGTTGCAGTGTTTCCTACTTAACAGTAGTTTTTTCATCCTTTACCTAAACTTCTCTAATAGCTACCCATCCAGGATATTTAAACGTTATAGCAATTACAAAATTTGTCCAAGGAATATTCTATAAAGGAAATGAGAGAGTACACAACCTATTTAGATTATAATTTAAAGCAAATTGAAACGATTTTTCAATTTAAATTAATCGGTTTGAATCAACTCTGGAAAAGTACCCGAAGAGACCCTTGTTTTTTTCTACACGATAGTATACTTATCCAAAAAATCCCAAATTCTCAAATATTGCATGTGTAACGTTATGATTACTCTCGCCCCGAATAGAATCTCTGTCTTTTGAAGGGATTGCTGCATCTGCATTCTAGAAGTTAGGCAGTTCTTCTTAGCGGACATTCAAATTATCCAATTGATTTATCAACGAGGATGTGCCCGACCTTCTTTATATATACAAGATGTAAATCTGATTGTTCAGTTTTAGTATGTGCGAGGTGTAGTTCGTTTGAGCAAACATGCTGTGGGTGTTCTTAGTTCTTCTAGCGCTCGATTTGGTCGCGGGTGTTCCCAAGCCTGACCATAAGACGGTGAGCGAGAAATCCGGTGGAACGATCGTCACGACGCCGTTGGGCGCCGTGCAGGGTTCGATCGCGCACAGTCGCAATGGGAAACAATTTCTGGCGTTTAAGGGTATAAGATACGCCAAAGCGCCGATTGAAGATTTGCGATTTCAGGTAGGGGGTGTTTGCAACGTTTCTAGCTCTGTCTAATTCGTGCTTCTCCAGCCACCGAAAGCGGTCGAGAAATGGGAGGGAGTCTTGAATGCGACGATGGATGGACCGGCCTGTCCGCAACCGAACGTAACTCCAATATCGGAAGACTGTCTTTTACTTAATGTTTATACGTCAAAGGTACTAATAACTTATTGGACTAGGGTGAGCAAAACAAAGCACCACATTTGCACTTTCATGAAAATTTCTCCATCAGGCAAATATTAGCTGAAGGTATGGGGTAACTGTCACCAAACAAGCCTATTTCACTGAGGGTAAAAAATTATAAACATTCATTACGGTTTTTTTAAGAAAAGGCAGAGATTTGTAATCTTGAGATTTAAAAATTATGAGTGAAAAATCCTAAATTTCCAAATTTGAATTTCAAGAATACTAAATTTTAGTTTCTGGGCTTGATGGCTTTCATAAAATTCAAAAATTGTGAAACGCGTTAAAGAATCTTAAATTTAGAGGCTATAGGATCGGAGAACGAAAAGTTTGACTTTTGGAATGCATATCTTAGATGAAGATTTTCTCAGGTTCGTGGTATATCGTCTTAGTATGTTGCTTAAGTACGTCTTCTTAGTAAATTTATTCCGGAGTTGCTATTTTTTGACGAAGAATTTTGACTCTAAACTCATTTTCTTGTACTCACTTTTATAATTCACTTAGTCCTTAACTATCGGACCAACCCGCTTTTAAAATAACCATGAAAAGAAATAATTGCACGCTACTAAAGTACTAACGCACGTGGTCGCATAATGAATTCTTTACATTACACTGTCAAATTCAAATTCTACCCTTCTGTAGAAGGCAAAAGGAAATTAATTTTGTGATAAATCTTAATCTACTACAACTAGTAAATTGACACAGGTAGCATATGTCAAGAGACACCCAGCATTGATATCTTCTTGTTCAGTTAGTGTCAATGGCAGACATTAAGGTTAATTGACTCTTAGCTTTTGTCAATTAATATGTACGATCTCTCAATTGACAGTTTACCATATGAGTAGGTATCAAGTTAAAATATTAAAGTCAATTGACAGCCATTACGTACTAAATGATAAGAACAATTTTTTGCCTGAATAACGTCAATTCATTGAACTTTAGTAGTCAGTGATTGCCTAGTATTTATCAAATGATACTTACTACTTGACCCTTGCCAGCGGCTATTCAAAATGGCGGTTTCTACTATGACAAAACTTTTTGAATATGATATTGACGGGAAGATCAACCCTAAGAAAGGACAACAATAAATTTACATATAAACTCTACAGGTACCTAAAGGTAATGAAGTTGAGAAGCACCCAGTCATGGTATTTTTCCACCCGGGCGGATACCAATCGGGTTCCAGTTGCAGTGAACAATTTGGCCCCCAATATTTACTAGATCAGGATCTAGTTTTGGTCGTGCCAAACTATCGACTGGCAACACTGGGTATATCTCCCCAAGTTAAAGTCGTACGTTAACCGTTTCTTGCAGGTTTCTTGAGCACCGGCGACAAAGAGGCACCTGGCAACAACGGTCTAAAGGATCAGGTCCAAGCTTTGAAATGGGTGAAAGAGAACATTGCCTCCTTTGGAGGTGATCCCGAATCGGTGACCATAGTCGGCAGTAGCGTTGGTGCGGCTAGTGTTACACTGCACTTGGTATCTCCACTATCCAAAGGTACATTGCGGTGGTGCAATGGGGCTTTTTTTAATCTTGAATTTTAGGACTTTTCAAGCGAGCGGTGGCGATGAGCGGATCGAGCATGGGAACGTGGCCAGTGCCCAATAACCAGATGGAACTGGCGAAGAAACAGGCGCAATTCCTAAATTGTCCCGATGACAACTCCGCGAACATTATCAAGTGCCTGAAAACAAAATCGGCCGAGGAAATCGCAAACAGCTACGTCAAGTTCAAGGAAGCGGGAGCATTAGACTCGAACCTAATTTGGCTTCCGGTGGTCGAGCAAGATTTTGGACAAGCCAGGTTTTTAACGGCGCATCCCGTCGAGTCGGTATTGAACGATCACTTCGAAAAGGTACCTTTTTTGACTGGGGTAACGACGGATGAGTACGCAAATCTCGCTTTTGGTAGGTGACTATAGTCGTTCGATGTTGCGTTCAACGAAGTCAATTACAGATCTAGTTGACAACCCTCAACTATTGCAAGACATGGAAAAGTACCCGCCGTTTTCGTCCATTTATGAGAAGGACACGAATGCCACGAAAACCATCTCGAAAGAGCTCCGGAAATTTTATCTAGACGACAAGCCTGTGGACAACTCCACAATTGCGAGCCTTGTAAATGTACGTATGATCAAAGGGAAATGAGTCCTTATTGACACACTTTCACAATAACGTATCACGTACGACTACAAAGTTGACAATCCTTTCGTTTACTTTGAATATACGACCATTAATTGAAAATGAATCTTTACGCGATCTAAAAAAAATGCCGTCGCTTCGAAAGTTTGAGGAAGAATCCCTTTCTCCCACCTAATTTTTACTTAAGTACTCGTCGAGTTAAAAACCCGAAACGGACCAAAGCTTGGGCTATGTTTTTTTTCACATGTGGCGTTTTCCACACTTCCTCTTAACTTGAAGCTCTTTATTTTCTCGCATATTAGTTCTGTTCTCCTCAAAGCGGCACACGTATAAAATTTTCTATACGGGCAAACGAACTAAATTCTGGATTTACGGGGCCATGTAAATGCCCAGGTAAATGATTCTTGACTATCCTAGATCTAGTTCCTGTAAGGCGTCCTACTGTCGCAACCCTGGTTACTTTTCTCATCTTCGCATACTCTCATTAAACCATTACAGCTCTACAGTGACGGCATGATTGGCTTCGGTGTCAATAGGGCGGCTAAACTTTTGGCGGAGAAGAGCAACGAATCAGTCTTCTACTACAGATTCAACTACAAGGGACGACACAGCTTCTTCTACTTGCCCGACTCAAACCACACTGTACCTTACGGTAATGATGCTCATTACAATAATTGCAGCTGATCTAATTTGCGCAGGCGTTGCTCACATGGACGACCTAATTTATTTATTCCACAACTCGAAACAATTTACCGATTACAAGGAGGACGACCCCGAAACGGATACCATTGAGAAGATGACGATTATGTGGGTCAACTTTGTTAAACTAGGGTAAGTGTGCGGTTTGGTTGACATTAAAAAAACGAATGCCTTTCAGTAAGCCCATACCGGAACAGTCTGAAAAGTTGGACGGCGTTAAATGGGAGCCGTTCACAACCAAGGCGAAAAAGTATTTAGACATCGGCAACAAGTTAATACTGAACGAGAATCTGAACGAGAAACGGTACAACGAGTGGGAAAAGTTATTTCCCTTGTCCAAATACCAAGCGAAAAGTAAAAAGCAGCACGGGTAGATTCGATAAGAAATAAGTTAAGGTATAATTCAATGTAAAAATGTACAATAAATTGAACTATTACTTTCCATTGAATGTTAATTACGGTTTTTGTATTTGATTTACCCGACGTGACAAACGTTCGATTTATTCTCGCACTTTATATGGCACCTTATTATTTCTTGCCTTTTTGGTTTGTGTTTCTTGTCTGATTGCACATTATTGGCAGAGAACGCCCTTCCGAATTCAGACGGTCGTGGCCAGAATTCAAATGTAATATTTTATGTCGTGTAACTCAGTAAGATTAACGTTTGTGCATAAAGGCTTTCGATACAGCCGAATGGTAATTAATATATTTTTAGCGCATTCTTGACGCTATTATATTCGTTATGAATGGCTGTCTGGCTGATCTCAGCAATTACAATAGCTAGATACTTCAAATTTTCACTAAAAGCTTTCTGATATAGTGTAGATGTGCAGGCTCTAGTCTATCTTGAGTTAGATTACTCGTGAGATCGATAATTTTAATAAATATAAAATCCTGATCTGTATTACCAAAAATGCGTATCAGAAGCCATATAAATGATGGTAAAGCTTCTAACAATTCTAAATTTAATTTAGACCCCGAAAATAGCACGCCGAGGTACTGTCGTCGCGGTCTTTTCTACAGAAACAGCATTGCCATAAGATCTGAATGTCATTTTATATCGTGCTTCGCGTCCCATTTGAAATAACAATGACAGGTGTCATTAGAATGCAAATCAGGTATTACACTTTATCTATCCTTGCAGTTAAAGTGATCACTTTAAAGACTGTTACGGTTAAAGACTGATTTAGCCTTATTTCCAAGTTTGGTAGGGTGGAATAGATGATTCATTTATTTCTTTCTTTGCGTCGATTTAATATTTTAAATCTACGGTAAATTTGACCTAAATTTGATATGTGACCATATAAATAAAGCGAGCTATTTTTGAATAACTGAAGCTTTTTTTATGAACAACCAATTACGAACAGTGTATTGGCCAACAGGAAGAAGGGAGTTACCACCCTATCCGTGTTGTAGGATAGGGAAACACCCACTTATACACTTAACTGAGCGTAAAGTGGCTCCTTTTGCATTGTGGATAGTGACGATTATAAGTTGCTCATAGGATCTAAAATCACGAAGGTGAACAAACCTCACAGGTCATGGTGTTAGCTACCGTGCGGAGGACTGCGTGACATTGGGGATGCAGGGTCGATAACGATGATCCTGGGATACCTGGCGACCTCCCAGTCAAGCCCTGGGCAAGCAGATCCACCGTTTCTGGGCTCTTAGTGAGAGGGAACCAACAAACCGGGCCCTCAAACGGGAAAAGCTTCAAGAAAGAGGAAACAGCTGCCAAACAGGGTCTCATTCAAAGATCTGGCGCACAGAAAGTGATGACCAAGGAATCGTTGGCCTAAGGGTGTTCCCTGACGTCAGGGAGCAAGCGTTTCAGGTTGAAGGGGAACACTCCGGGATCTCGGTCAGGGCGGTTCGACAAGAATGCTTTGGGGCCCCCAAATCTGCGAGTGTGCCACGAATTTATAGGCAAGTCGCTGAGGTGGGGCTCAGCCATTGTTCCACCGTGAGGTGGACGTAACGAGCCTTTGTTGGAATGCGTCGTGGCGGCACTAAATTCAGTCGCTGACGCGATATAGGGTCCCCAGGGTGCCATTATTGTGGGCGAATGCGGAAAATGTGGAAATTTGGACTGGCTGGAGAGGTCTGTTGCTTACAACGCCGACGGAAGGCATTAAATCCCAAGCTATCAGCTTACTGCCGGCGCTCCGAGAAGTCGACCAAGATAACAACGAACTCCTGGCTCGTATGGCTCCCACAAGAAGTCGAAACCGTCGACATCACCCACCAGAGGATACGGCATCTACTAGAAGAAAAATCCCGTGAAAGAAAGAAGAGCTTACAGAGCTTGTTTGGACAATTACCCCGTACATAGGCGGGCGACAATTAAAATAAAAAAACTTAAAATTGCTCACAGTTTTTCAACTTGACAAAATTCTTTCCGTAATTGGACAACACGTGTTGAACTTCTCCCACAACTTTCGCTTACTTGCTTCCGCATAGATTTATTATACAAAACGACGAACTGCGTCTCGAACAAAACAAATAGAGCCCGTATAGTAATTTCCAGTATTTAAGGAAAAATCATTTCCACCATAAAATCAACTCCTGGCTGAAAATTTTTTAAATAAAAAGCTAATCAACGACGGAACGCGCCTAACGTCCCACTTCTCCAGATGAAATGCGAAATTCTTCGTTATCTCTTGGCAACGAGACATGTGCGTTAATTAATTTTCGCCTGAGAACAAAACCTCTTCCTGCAAACGACCAAATTACAAAAGCGGAAAAATTTAAATAAGAATTACGAATTTACAAAATTTCTAAAAGTAAAAAGAGACAAATTCAAATGAAACGAACCAACTCTGTGCATATTTCGTAAATAATCCCCCAATAAATTGTAATATTCTCATATACCGAAATAATAACGTCTACATGCCGTTGTCTGCACAACAATAATATTATATCAGTGTCACTCAGCTGACAGGTTCTTAACTCTAGATCGCCTGTGCGAGTCTAATAGGGTAAGCTTAATCTGGGACCAGTGCCCTGTGGAATAGGGGGTAACAAAAGGGCGGACGAGTTGGCACGCAGTACGGGTGTCTGCTGGGAAAATCTGGGTCATTTGGGCTTCTAAAACTGAATAGAAGCTAAATTAGGAAGATTATTGGGTCTCGCAGGGCCCTAAATGATCAACTATCACACAACAAAGCAACAATATTCAAATTAATGAATATATCAGTTAGATCTTTATTTGTTTTAAGAAGTTATTTTGGATGCAGAAAATTAGGCGCCCTCCAGAAGAGATTTTGTCATTTAAAAGTAGACATAGGGAAAAACAATATACGTAAATCCCTATGTCTACTTCTTAATAAATGTGGCGAATAATAACACCAAAAAGGTATGTTTTAAACAACAGATGGGGACAGTTAGCATGTTTATCAACATATCAAGCGAAAATAAGGAGTAGCGTACTTAATTGGACAGGATTTGTATGCGAACGGTACTTGAAAATGTATAATAGAGCAAAAAATTAGTTTTTTTCCGTTAATTAATGCGTTTTTGTTAGAGATCTGGATTGGATTGGACCTGGGAAAACCTCAGCAGAATCATTAATTATAAAAAATTATAGTTTTCTATTTTTAAGTCAATTAAGGGAAACGTTTCTTAATAACAATCAACAAGCACCTTACGTCATGTAAATATTTTACAGGGTTATCATTACGAGCACTTCTATTCGCATTATCTTGTTGTTGTGCTAGAGTGCAGTGGTAAAAGTGCTCAGTGCAGGTAGGTGAATTAATGTTCAAATACTTTGATGGCCATTTCTTGGTTCAGTTCATACATCAAAGGTAATTTTTCAATTACCCATAATTTTAAATTACCTAATTAGACGATTTAAGTAACTACCTCAATATCCTCTCATTGTTTAGCTCGTTTCAAATTGGTATTGTAACTCGTGTGTTTCATATTTCATGTGGCCTAAGACTATTAGTTTTTTTAAATTTCTTATAGAGAATTGAAAAACTCTCTAATCAATTTCTTTTTCGAAACTTTTTTTGTGTAGCGCATTAATTTAGGTACTGTTGATTGGAATAAAAGAGGTCAAATTCAAACCCCCTTGGAAATGTATTGTTCCATCTTAAGATCAATACTCATCCGTTTTGGAACTTTACTGTTGGACCAATATAAACTTTAGAGTTTATTACCAAAAGAACAATAATAATCATGAAGTATTTGTACTCTCAACAGCTGTCACTTCATCCCTCTGATTAACAACATCCTTGCTTGTTGAAGATAACCGTATGTTTATCGCTTACAATCTTTGGAATTTGAATTGTGGAGCTATTTGCTGTCATAATGTCAAAACTCGAACGTTCCTGAACATTCTCGAAGAGAGGTCCTTGCACATGCGCGAAGTTGTGCCAGAATCGAAAATCCATTCTTTTTCTGGACACTTCAACGCCGATATAGCAGAAAAGATGTTCTTACCATCAGTTTTCTGCTTGTCGAGCTTCTTCTTAGGGCAATTCGACTTGATATGTCCAAATTCATGACATCTATAACACTTTACAGGTTGCTTGAAGTCACTAGATCTTGGTTTCCCAACAAATGCAGCTGCTTTATTTTCAATGAAGTTTACTTGTACATCCTGAAGTAACGATGTCTTGACATAGTCACCAGTAATGTCTATAACTGAACTTTCCATGGCCGTAATCATTGGTTGATACTTATATCTGAACTGCTTAGCTTACCTCTATCAAGTTTCAAAGATAACGAGTCTAAAGTCTTGGATTAAACTTGAGCACCACATGATTTGCAGATTCCCAGTGTTAAAAATTTTTTTTTGGGTTTGTATCTTTCTTGGTTCTTAGTGTCATCAAGTCGCCGAGGGTAACTAGCGATATTTCGGACTTTTCGGTTTTCATCCATTTTTTTAAAATACATTATTTATTGTTGACAACTAACTCTTACACCCTCTTTGCCTACTCTACGCCCTTACATAATTTAAGTAAACCGTAATTATTATAAATTATGCTAAAAATGCTATGTGAACAACTTCGCCAGGGATCAGATCTAAGTACCTGCACTAAAACAAATGTGATATTGACTAATCTTTAGGAATTTGTGTTCACTGCTTAACCTTTAAACTACCTATATCGGTTTGGTGAGTAATTTGTCGCAATGGGAAATTCCAAATAGGTTTAGTAGTCTATTTTCGTAATTGAATTTATGGCTTACTTTACGACGTACTGTTTATCTTATGGCAGGTTATCTCCTTGACAGGTGGTTATATTCAGCGACAACTTGAATTTACTACGTTTGTTTTGTGGTAGTGATCAAGGTGAGATGAACTTTAAAAGGTATTATACTAGTCAATTATAAAGTGCGAAAAACCCAAAAACGGCTTTCCTTCTCAGTTGATGTTGTCATTAATTTAGACGCACATTGTTGCTGTAATTAATTTTCATGAAACGTCTACATTCTTCGATCTCAATCCACGTGGTAATTAATTTTTCTTCACGTAACGATATTCTTCAATCAATAATTAGAAATTAGCTACCCCTAAATGGCAACACTTTAATTTTGTGTGACCTTTTTTCGTCCGTTTTGTCTTGTGCTGTACGTCCTCTAAATTCTGCAGATCCTTTAAATTTTACAGATTGCAGTTGCTCTTGTAGATGTGCATGTTTTGTTTTGCAGATAGTGTTTGAATGGATTATGGACATGAACCAATGTTCCGCTGTGTTGTTATTAATTTTTCCCAGATCTTTTTGCAGGTTATTTGATTTATTGCACAATGATTTCTCCAATGAGATCACTTAACTTTAAGGAAATTGCTTTTGGTTGAGGCATATTCGACCGGGGAGTATTGGGGGTTGTGCACTACCCATGAAAGGGGGGGGGGGCCTCCCACGGAGAAACTTTTGAGAAATTTTAAGTTTAATTTTCGTAATTGAATTTATGGCTTACTTTACGACGTACTGTTTATCTTATGGCAAAATTTACCAATATATTTGGTCTGGGTTACATATCATTCATAAAAATACAAATTTGTTCATGGGATAAATTCCCGTGGGTCAACCTCTTCAGGAATGTTAGAATGACTACACATAAGCCTTTTATGTACAGTCCCGAATCAACATTAACTCCTGTGGTTACACAATCCAAAAATATAGTTTCCTAGGGTAGCAACAATTTGGAAAATTGGATAGTAGAACGTTTTGTACAATGCGATCTGACTTTGTGTTTCGCCAAGTAAAAATTGGTTACTCATTGAAGGTGAATCTCGAAAGATTGTTGACGAATTTGAATCCAGAACAAACCGTGCTTCAGGTTTCCCGCAATTTATTAGTTCGAATTTGGCGTATTTACTCGAATAATTCCGCAGTATGGACATTTCAAAAGTCACCATTACAACTTAGGGTTTTGACAACCAACAAAAACACGAATTATTGGTCTTGAACCTTTTTACCGGTTGCCGTTTCATGTAGATCTGATGACACCCCATGTACACAAGAGAGGTGCACATTTTTACACAAATTAACAGCACCTACTAGATACGAGAAAATGAAATAAGGAAAACAAACCCCTTTATGCTTAATCGAATGAAAGTATCAAGCGCTTTCCTTGAAATTAAACGGTACGTTCAAATGCAAAAATGCCAAAACGGAAAAACAATCCCTTAAATCGTGCTATTACCTTATATAAACTTTCCAAAATGTGGATAGGGAACGTCAGAATTTGCAGCCGGCGGCGTACTCATGTGCTAAACGTAAAAAAATCTCAAACTCCATATTAATTAACGGTAAGCGCGCTTCTAATGACACTAGACCCAATCCGGTTAGACAAAGTTTTGCTGAAACTCAATTAATTACGGTTAATTATACTTACTTAATTGGCCGGAATAAAATTTTCGAATTCGGTAGCCCAGTAATGCCTATTGTTACATGAAATTTTGGATCAATCGCAAAAAGTCTGCGATAATGAAATAAACTGAATGATCTTGATCTTTTTCTCTTAATATTGGGAAACTAACATCGGTTAATTCTATTTACAGAGTTGAAATTCAAAAATATTGATTTCTCGACTGCTTTTCCATGTCAGGGGCCGTCAGAAAGGAATTCACATTCATAATTCAGTTCGGTAGCCGGTTTTCTTTATCAGCGGTCAAAGCGCCTCTACAAATTAAAACATTACCCTTACCTTATATTTCTATCTCCTAGAACAGAAGTCCATAGGTCCGGAAGTACAATTTCTTGTAAGGAAACGCCCGTTTGAGTTCGTTAAAGTACCGGGTGTTCAATAAATCTGGTAGCTTCCATCAATGTACGGTGCGTTCTTTAAAACTGGTCGAATTTCTTGTATGAAAACGGGGGTTTCGTTACACTAGGGAATGTGGAATATGCATAGTTCACAGAATCAACAGAATCGGAAGAATGCACATAATTTACAAGATATGCAAGATTGTGTAGATTCTATATACGATTTCCCTAATTCTCAAAGAATGAGTACATTCTGTAGATTTATGTAGGTTTCTGTAGGTTCCATAGATTTTGTAGAGCAATTTGTGTAGGGTGGGGGTAGAAAAATTAAAAAATAAGTAATAAAAGCTTCCCTCAAACATTTTTAAATTGGATGATTAATTCTAACAAATATTTTAGACAGAAAATGTGGACACTCCTTGTTTTACTAGTGCAAGTAGGATTTATCCTATGCAAATCGAGCGAAAGTTCTGGTAGCTCGAGTTCGGAGGAAGATCACATCTCGATACCCCCTCCACATGTCACAACGCAGCACGGAACAATAAAGGGACTGGCCGACAAAACTTATAAGGGCGAAACCTTTTATTCCTTTAAAGGAATTCGATACGTGGAAGCACCCGTTGGCGACCTACGATTTAAGGTGAGTACAAATTGGAGTGAAACCCAGCTCGATTGCCGTTTTAGGCCCCCGTACCTGTGAAGCCATGGACGGGTGTGTACGACGCCAGTTACGATAGACCCGCCTGCCCGCAACCGGCGTCGTTTCCAACCGACGAGGATTGTCTCTTCCTGAACGTCCACACGAGGAAGCTTCCAAAAAGGGGAAAGAACCCCAAGTATCCGGTTATACTGTACATACACCCTGGAAGTTTCACCACGCGTTCCGGTAACACCGCCATGGTGGGACCGCATTATTTGCTAGAGAGAAAAGTTGTTTTGGTCACAATAAATTATAGGTTATCCGCACTAGGTGTGGTCATCCGCAGACGTTTAGACACTAACCTTGCGATTGTAGGGTTTTTGAGTACTGGAGATGAGCTGTCACCTGGTAACTACGGAATGAAGGATCAAGTGGAGGCCATGCGATGGATAAAGGAGAACATTGCGGCGTTCGGAGGCGATCCCGATTGTGTTACGCTGGCAGGTTACAGCGTTGGAGGGGTCAGCGCAGCCCTCCATCTAACGTCGCCAATGTCGCGAGGTTTCCGCCTTTTTTATACAACTGACAAAACTGAACTCGTCTCCGTAGGTCTGTTTCACCGGGTTATGATAATGAGCGGTTCCGCATTCGGAAACGGAATTATGCCCCGCGACCAACTCGACTTGGCTAAAAGGCAGGCGCGTATAGTTGGATGTCCCGATGATAATAATGGGGACATGATGAAATGTCTTAAGAATGCTTCGGCTGAAGCTTTAGGAAACTCGCTGGAGCAGTTTCGGGTGTTCGGTACCGATCCCCAGTTCTTCTGGCAGTTTGTGTTAGAGCCAGATTATGGACAAGAAAGGTTTCTCATAGAACACCCATTGATTTCCATACAGAAGGGGGACATTGCTGATGTACCCATCATGACTGGGGTCACACACGATGAGCTCCTCTTTCTGGCGTACCGTAAGTGTTACCTCATCAACGTCGGCGTGTACCTCTGAGTGCGTTCCAGCTACTGTAACCAATGAGACTGCTCTTGAGGTGTTCAACCGGGACGCCAATAAAATCTTCCCTTACTCTTTTTACTACGAGAGGGGATCGGATGCAATAACTGCCGAGCTCCAAAAGTTCTACTTTAACAATAAACCCGTCAGCTCAAATTCGTTGGAGCCGCTAGGCCAGGTATCTCACTGTCAAATTTCAGCACCTTAACCTAATATTTTAGTTGTACGCTGACGCGCTCGCCGGATTTGCAGTAAACCGAGGCGCTCAGTTACTGTCGAAAGTGCTCAAAAACAAGGTTTACTACTACATATTTACCTACAAGGGAAGTTATAGCCATTTCACTCCGGAGAGTGGCGCTAAATATGGTGAGTAAGCTTGAGGGGGAGGTCATTAAGTGCGTTGGTTTTTCAGTGGTGCACTTCGACGATCAACTTTACGTGTTCTGGAACTCGCTTAGCTTTCCAAAGTTCACCAAACGCGATCCGGATGCTACCATGGTAAAGAAACTGACCACTTTGTACGCCAATTTCGCGTATTACGGGTACGTTTGGAGTGCGAAACGGGCACGGTTGAATCATAACACTTTTCAGAAATCCCACGCCCAAGGAAAGCAAGAAACTGGATCAGGTCATATGGACACCATTTACAGAGCAGAATAAGTTGTATCTGGACGTTGGCGATCGGTTGACGATGAAATCGGATATTTTCCCCGAGAGATACGCGAAGTGGAGGGAGTTATTCCCGTTACCAAGTGCTAACGACAGAACCGCTGTTGCATAATCTTGCTACTCTTAAGTAATGAAATGTTTGCTAGCATCATTATTCGTATTTTTTTAAAGTAAATGTGAATAAATAAATTGTTCTCTCATCTCTCTGCTTCCTTTCAGAAGTTCTATGGTTGACAACCCTTTATCGTCACTTTGTGAATTCACTTCCCCAACTGGGCTAGATTCCAATAACATGGACCCTAATCATGTCCCACACGGTCATAAAATAAGCTTAATGGATGTTCTTGTCTGCTGTTGCGTTGCATATTTGCATTTCATCCGTTGGAAAAACCGAAATGAGACACGCTCGGAATCGGCGAATTTTCCCATCGACACCCACACACTCGACAGCGTCCCTGCCTCTCCTTAGCGAAACGTTTTAGAACTGGCAACACGATCGAGCACGCGGTTTACCTATTACACACAGCCTGTGTTTTACTCGAAATGCACGCCGGTTATCGCTCTTATCACGCGACGTACTTTCGTTCACGTTTGCTATGAAGCGGCATATGCGTAAATTTTCCTATATCGAATCAAATCCAAACTCAAAAAATAATTTTCAAAATTGCAAAACGGCCTCCCGTTACAGTAGTCAAAGAAAGTTTACATTTAAGGGTTAGCTGTGCACTAGGAAAAAAATCACCTTATCGCAAATTTAAGCTTAGAACGCTTCTCTTGAACGTACAAAGGCACCTCTTCATAGCCCATGTTCTCCTTGTCGGCAAGGAAAAATGCACAACAGATCCGTCAGTTTCTAGTGGAGACAAGGAAAAATGCACAACAGATCCGTCAGTTTCTAGTGGAGACAGCTACTTTAGCACAATACATTCACCCGAAAATAAATCATTAAAGCATTTTTCTGGATCATTTTCTGGAGCAAGACGAGCGAGTGGTTGCTTTATAATTAAAAAATAATTTTTCGAATTTATATTTTGGTAAACAGGGAACGTTACATATGTACCGCTTAATAGTGTACTTGAACGAAGATATGTCTGGCGATAACGAGGCATATCAAGAAACGTACTGCGGGAAGAGTTCCTTTCTGTTGTGTCGAGCACGCGACAAGCGAGCCGCGATTGTTTCGTTCAGAAAGTAGTGTCCTTTTCGATATTTTTACTGGGCAATATTCAAATAGCGAAGGAGGTAGAGCTGAGAGAGAAAATCTCATGATGAAGTAGAAGCTAAAACGTTATAGCCTCCCAATACAATAGTTTAAACAAAGGAAGGTGTTGGAGCGATTGCCTTAAGGATAGTGCTCATGGACTATGTTTTTCTAGTAGAGAACATTTTGCTATCGTATACTGCGTGAATTACGATCAGAAACACCTATTCGCCGTTAGCCTTCCGATACAACAGTTTCAAAAGGAATAAAGCGTTGAATTCTCTCTTGATTCCCTTGAGCACAGAAAAAGCCCTCCTAATGGGTTATGCTCTCCTGGTAGCCGGCGAAAATGTGCGCCATTTTCATTGCAGACCGCATTCTCCTGCTCTAAAAACCTTCTCTTGATAAAAAACTTTAGATGAAAGTGAAGTGTAGGGAAGCATAGAAAAGAGTACTCAACGATTATGATCTCTTGGTAGCAAAAGAAAATTTACAAAAACTCCGCGAACAGAAACACCTCCTTGCGCGTTATATTATTCAAGTACAAAAGTTGTGTTTTAGCAAAAATAAATTTATTTCTTCACACCTGCTTGCTGCTTTCCTTTCATGACTTTCTCCTCTTCATGCTTCCCTACCGGTCGCCTGTTCCCTTTGCGTTTGTTTTCTGTACGGTCTAGTTATATTTCTTTAGACCCTTTTGTCGTCTTTTCCCTTCTTCAGTATTTCACCACGTCATCTACCCTACACTTTCTCTTTTCTTACTTTTACACTTTTTTTCTTCTTTAACGTATTTTTCACTTTTCTTTGTTCTTTCTTCTTACTCCTTAATGGCTTCTGTACACCACTTTAAAACTTTCCTTAAACACGCTTCCTTCACCCATGGTTTGTTATCCCCTCTTTAATTCTTGCCTTTTTGTTCAGGTTTCCACATTTATACCTTTTCCTATTAAACCTTTTGTTTTCCTTGCACTATCCTGGCTCCTTCCTTTGGTCTACTTCATGAACCTTTGTATCAGGTTGTCGCTTTAGACTTTATTTTGTCAAATTTACAAAATTACTGGTATAGGAAATGTGTACCGCTTCATAATGAAAGAGAACAGAACTTATATTCGAGAAAATAAAGCGTGTCAAGATAAGAAACAAGGGTTCAAGTAGATAAGAGCCAGTACGTTAAAGTGGTGCCGGCGCTATACCTACCCATGTGTAAAAAACCATGTGAACGATTTGGTTGCGGTAGTTCCGTTTCAGAACTTTCATTTGGCAAACACTTAAGTAAAAATTTGGTGGGAGAGCGGCATTCTCAAAACTAACTTCAAACCGAAGGTCATATAACTACACTGCGTGGGAGAAGCGTCTTCACAACTGGAGCCAGTGCCGCCATTGTTAACAAGTTTCATAAACGTGTAAGCCTTCTAAATTCGCTATGAGCTCTCAGCAGAAATAAATTGTAGTGTAGCGGAAAGATATGTAAATAGCCATTTGTTAATCAAAGTTGTGTATCCAATTGGTTTATAATAAGTATAACGAATTTACTCAGAAAACGGCTACCGGTAAAAGGGTAAATGACAATTAATTCAATTCTGTTAAAACCCTAAGTTTCAATGGTAAATTTTTTAACATTCCTACATAGCGGAACATCTGTAATCTATGCTATGTTCCACTAATTAAGTCAAAGAAAGGATGAAGCCCGGTTATTCGAATGGTAAAAATTCCACGACTGAAAATCGTATGCGATTCTTCTTATCTTCTTATTTTCTTATGTGCTTGGAATTGTTTCGCAAAAATGATATCTCACAAATTTTAGAAAATCCTCTAGAAGCCACAAGACGATTTGCCAGAAATTTAAGAATCTCTAAAGTACCATTGAAGAACTCTACTCCATGAGCAATATCTCCACAGTATCTGAAGAATACCTGAAGAATCTGGCAGGAAGCTACAACCATTTTGTGAAGAATTAAGTCAGACCATTGCAATTAGAAAATGAAAGGATTTCATTATCTAAGTTCACGGACCTAGGCAAGTTGTTTTCTGTAATGCTATTAACAATTACTTAATGTTATTCGTGGATTATCGACTGGTTTGAGCAATAGATAATAAAAATCGATAACAAAGTGTACAAGTGTTGCGGCATCCATATTTTGATGCTAATGAGTAGGGGCATCACCTTTTATCGTCTCGACGGAAAAACCAGTACACATTAGCAATATTTATACTTGATATGGGTGTCTGATGCTTTTACCGTAAGGATCGTGTATAAAGGAGCACCTCAGTTTTGTGTCCAAGTGAATGTCAATTTGAATATGGTTAAAGCAAGTGTGCTTATTTTGGCATTAGTTTATTGTGCGTCCTCGTATCATCATCACCACAACCATGATGACGAGTTCTTGGTGTCCACGCCGCTAGGTTCAATTAAGGGTGCACCATTGCAAACGGTACTGGGAAAGAAGATTTACTCATTCAGAGGCATCCGGTACGCCAAGGCACCAATAAATGAGCTACGGTTTCAGGTAGGAACAATTAATATTATGATCTCCATTAATTCGTGCAAACCATTACAGCCTCCAGAGCAAGTGAAAGGCTGGGCAGGTGTTTATAACGCGACCAAAGATGGAGCTGCTTGCCCTCAACCCGAACTGAGCAACACCAACGAAGACTGTTTATTTTTAAATGTGTACACCACGCAGTTACCTCACAAGGGATCGAATCCCAACCGCCCCGTCTTGGTCTTCTTCCACCCAGGTGGATACTACTCTTGGGGCGGATACAGTGAGGCGTTCGGGCCGGACTACTTATTAGACCAGGACATTGTACTGGTCACGTTAAATTACCGCCTGGCTTCCTTAGGTTAGTCTCAAACACGCTGAACTTCCCTCTTTAACTCTAACTAACACTGCAGGATTTATGAGTACCGGCGATAAGTTCGCGCCTGGAAATAACGGCCTGAAAGACCAAGTGGTGGCGCTGAGATGGGTGAAGCAGAATATAGCGTCGTTCGGTGGTAACCCGAACCTGGTGACGATCTTCGGGTACAGTGCCGGAGGCGCCACTACCTCCTTAATGTTAGTTTCACCAATGGCGAAAGGTGACCTTAGTTAACCCCTTTAAGTAATCAAAGCTGTTAGGCCTTTTCCACAGAGCGATTATAATGAGCGGCTCCGGTTTTGGAAACTGGCCAGTGCGACCTCATCAATTCGAATTGGCCCAAAAGCAAGCGCGCTTGGTGAACTGTCCAGATACCGATTCCGAATCAATTTTTAAATGTCTTAAAACGAAGAGTGCAGAGGAAATTGGAAACTCTCTATATGAATTTGCTGTAAATATTCTCTTTGGCCGGAGTAGCGGTAACGGTTTTGTTTAGGAGTTCGCTTACGGTCCCATTTTGAGCTGGCTGCCGGTCATCGAGCCGGACTGCGGCCAAGAAAGGTTTCTGACCGACGACCCGGTAAAACTCCTTCTGCGAGGGGAGTTTGAAAGAGTTCCGGTAATCACAACTGTAACCGCCGAGGAATTCAAATACGTAGCGTGGAGTAAGCTTACGCTTGGTTCGTTACTCACACTAATTCACTTTACTTTTAGACCTACTAGATAACGCCACCTGGCTCAGGGAAATGGACGAAAACTTCGAGAAAATTGCGCCTATTGAGTTCATATACGAAACGGACACCGAGAATTCCAAGCACATCAGTAGAGAGTTGAGGAAATTTTATTTGGGCGATGGACCTTTGACTGAAAAGTCTCTACCTCAAATTGGAAAGGTACCCCACTTAATTGGGATTACTAAACCATTCACCAATTTCTAGTTGTATGCCGATGGAGTCATAGGGTTTGGCGTGAACAGAGCAGCTAAGTTGCTGGCAGCTAAAAATTCAGAACCGACCTACTACTACAAGTTTAGTTACGAAGGGCGTTACAGTTTCCATTACAAACCAAACACTACCACACCAGAAGGTAATGATAATCACCGACTTATGAGAGCAAACTGAATCAATAGTTGTAGGGGTGGTCCATCATGACGATCTACAGTACATTTTCTACATTTCGCGCTTTCCACGGCTGAAGCCCTCTGATCCAGAGTACAAAACCGTACAGAAGATGACCAGTATGTTGAAAAACTTTGCCGTAACAGGGTAAGATCACTTAGAAACGATGAAATAGCAACCACCGGTATTCTTTCAGAGTTCCCATCCCCAAAGCGAGTCATTTGCTCGATGACACCGAGTGGAAACCGATTAGGCCGGGAAATAACGTGTATTTGGACATTGATGAAAAGATGGTAATGAAAGAAAACTTGTATGAGGATCGCTATTCTGTTTGGGAGAGACTCTTTCCGTTGCCGAAAGTATGAGTGCAATCCGTTTTATAATAGAAATTATGAAAATAAATGCAAATAGAGCTATAGATCAGTACAGAACATTATTCTACTTTAACCCTTTAACACCCACTAAACCCCTTCTCCCTAATCCCGTTCCCGTGTCCACCTCTTGGCATCACCAAAGTATTCTTCCAGAGGTGCGCTTATGATCCTCACTTCCTCATTGTCTTGTTACGGCGATGCCGGCTTCCCTTGCTTCTCTCTTCTTTGGATCACTAATTCTATGTACCGGTTTATCTTAAGCCACTTATCACGCTCTCCAACATTACTACCCCTATATTCTCGGGGTCCAGTATTTCTCCCGTTTCTATGGTCAGTCTTCTATCTAGTTTGACGCCAAGGATATTGATCCGTCTGGCGAGCAGGATCTGTGTTCCATCTACGTCCACAGTGGCCGGGGTAAGCCTTCTCCTTCCGGCCAATAGCGCCGTCTGGGTCGTTGCCCCTACCACTTTCATTCCATCCACTCTTGGATCCTACTCCTTGTCTGGTTTGTCATCTCCACTGGTTACTATTAGGGTAAGATCGTTCGCATCTCTACCCCTTTGGGGACGTACAGCTCTAGAACGGCGTCGTATGTTGCGTTCCACAGCAGGGCCCCAGAACCGACCCCTGCGGTACGCCTCCGTAGATTTCGAATGTGTACACTGTCCACGATGGCAGCTTCACATCCGCTGTTCTCTCAGTGAGATAACTTCCAGTGACTTCATTTTTGTAGTGCTTCGAGTAGCGTGTATGTTGGTATTGTGGCATTACGTACGTCCAGGGAGGTCACCACCGCCACCTCCCTGGTTCGCTACGTGCCGCTCATTGCCCCTTCTCCCAATTCATGTACCCTCTTCAAAGCATCCCTCGTTCCCCTTCCTTGCCTGAAGCCGTACTGTCGGTCACTTAAAGCCATCATTGCCCCAAACTATCCGCTCTAGGGGCTTCACAAAATGGGTAATCAGTGCTATGGGCCTTTCCGTGCCTGGATTCTTAGTTGGGATTAGCACCACCGCCGCTCTCTTCCACGCGTTCTGCTATACTCCGGTGTCCATCACCATACTAAAGGCCTGTATTATTATCTCTGGTGCCTCTCGTGTCACGAAAGCCACAAAATCTGGAGGGAATTAGCCATCCTGTTCTGGTGCATCTTCATTGCAGCATTTCTGATTTTTTCGTTTGTAAATGGATCGACCGGCTCTTCGGGTTTTTGACTCGTTGATGTGTCTTGGAGCCTTTTTTTCCTTGGGAATAGCTGTATCTTGCTGAAGATCTCCTCGTCCTTTCCAACCACTCTCGTTCTTCTCCCCAGCTTCCCGGTTACTATTTTATAGGCTCTTATCCACACGTCTTCCTATGTCCATGAACCTAGCAAAGCAAGGTCAGCAGAACACAATCAAACATATTGCATAATTAGGTGCTAATTAAGTACCCTATTCCCGAATTAAATGCTCTTTTTTTAAAAAATTATTACACGTTTTGCCAGGTTCAGATGAACTCAGCAGAACACTACCTCCAAAAACCAAGAAAATGGAAAGTGAACTAACTATAATTAGGTGCTAATTAGGTGCTAATTAAGTGCCCTATTTCCGAATTAAATGCTCCTTTTTTTAAAAAAATTATTACATGTTTTACCAGGTTCATATGAACTCAGCAGGACACTACCTCAAAAAACCAAGAAAATTTAAAGTGAACTAAATATAATTAGGTGCTAATTAGGTGCTAATTAAGTGCCCTATTCCCGAATGAAATGCTCCTTTTTTTTTAAATTATTACATGTTTTGCCAGGTTCATATGATCTCAGCAGAGCACTACCTCAAAAAACCAAGAAAATGAAAAGTGAACTAACTATAATTAGGTGCTAATTAAGTGCCCTATTCCCGAATTAAATGCTCCTTTTTTTAAAAATTATTACATGTTCTGGCAGGTGCATATGAACTCATCAGAGCACTACCTCAAAAAAACCAAGAAAATGAAAAGTGAAGTAACTATAATTAGGCGCTAATTAGGTGCTAATTAAGTGCCCTATCCTTAAATTAAATGCTCCTTTTTTTAAAAATTATTACATGTTCTGCCAGGTTCATATGAACTCAGCAGAGCACTACCTCCAAAAACCAAGAAAATGAAAAGTGAACTAACTATAATTACGTGCTAATTAGGTGCTAATTAAGTGCCCTATTCCCGAATTAAATGCTCCTTTTTTTAAAAATTATTACATGTTCTGCCAGGTGCATATGAACTCATCATACCTCAAAAAAACCAAGAAAATGAAAAGTGAAGTAACTATAATTAGGCGCTAATTAGGTGCTAATTAAGTGCCCTATCCTTCAATTAAATGCTCCTTTTTTTTAAAAATTGTTACATGTTCTGCCAGGTTCATAGGAGCTCAGCAGAGCATTACATGAAAAACCTAAGAAAATGAAAAGTGAACTCATTATAATTAGGTGCTAATTAAGTGCCCTATTTCCGAATTAAATTGAAATTAAAAATGACTGGGAATTAAAAAGCTCTTTAAGCAAAATATACTAAAGATATTATTAAAAAGTTAAGTCTTGAATATTGTCTTAAGATCAAAAAATTAAAAATTAGTAACTGCGAAATAAATTATGTATGGGGCTCATTTGAAAGGGCTTGGTCTCGGTCTTGGTCTAAGCATCCCGTGCGTACCCAATTTTGTAGTTTTGCGCATGCGCAGTGTCAAAAATTTCGTTTAACGCATGTGCGATGCTAACTTTTTTATTTATGAAAATATTTAAATGAAACTATGACACTACGAATATAACTAAAACTGACAACGTTTTAAAAATATTGTTTTGCGCATGTGCAATGCCAACTTTCTTATTTACGAAAGTATTTAAATGAAATTTAGTATACCTACAGGCACTTGGAATATAAAACTAAAACTATTACCGGATTCAAAATTTCTTTTTTGTACTCCGTGCATTAAATGAACGTGTTTTGTCATTCGTTTAAGGATCTAAGGTGTCACTTTTTCTCCCAGAAGGATTAAAATGCAATGAGGGACGAAAAGTGACAGTACACGACATCTTTTTGAATTTGGGAGGCAGTAATTTCCTCATAACGTTCAGTTTATATGAACCTGGCAGAACATGTCATAATTAAAAAAAAAGGTGTATTTAATGTGGGAATAGGACACTTAATTATCACCTAATTAGCACCTAATTATAGTTAGTTCACTTTTCATTCTCTTGGGTTTTTAAGGTAGTGCTCTGCTGAGTTCATATGAACCTGGCAGAACCAGCAATAATTAAAAAAAAGGAGCATTTAATTCGGAAATAGGGCACTTAATTAGCACCTAATTAGCACCTAATTATAATTAGTTCACTTTTCATTTTCTTGGTTTTTTGAGGTAGTGTTATGCTGAGTTCATATGAACCTGGCAAAACATGTAATAATTTAAAAAAAAAGGAGCATTTAATTCAGGAATAGGGCACTTAATTAGCACCTAATTATGCAATATGTTTGATTGTGTTCTGCTGACCTTGCTCTGCTAGGTTCATGGACATCCCATCGCACCATCTCATGCTCCAGTTCTTGCTGCGTCTGTGGTTGCCGCGTTGTTGCCCTTAGGATCCTCAGCTTCACTTTCTTGAGCTTGGCGCTTTCCCATTTGGGCTTCAATCTCCAGGTAATGTACTTATGATCGCTCAGGGATTCATCCTCCTCGACCTCCCAGTCTCTAGTGTAGCGGGCCGCTGTCTCGCTGGCGCAGGTCTCGTCGATAGAGGATCTTCTTTCATAAGTTGGGCATACCGAATCTAATCATTTTTTTAATAGGGTTTGAGAAATCTTTTATAAGCTCCGCCTATAGCGGTGGGTGTATGGGACTCCCTCCCATCCAGGTAAGTTTTATCCACTAAAACCCTTTGCCTTTCCTTGTGCCGCAAGGATGGGCATCGCCCTTGGGCTTCTTCACATAAATGCGTGACCGGCGCAGGTGGTCGTTGCCTAGCTGTTGGCCTGATTAATGTCTCCAGCCCTCTCTTTCTCTTGTGGAAATCACCAACCATACGACTCTTCTCCATTTTTTGGTGGACCTGATAGGTTTGGTGGTAAATCTAAAGCGGCACACTTTTCAATCGAGATGTACAAGTTTTTACCTACAAATACGAAAAGTTCCCTTTTGGTCATCCTAAAGTTTACGCTGGTAAGAAGTGCTATACCGCGATGGCCAAACTGCATACGCTGGAAACAGACCATTCCGACGCAATCGACCCTATTTAAAAATTACCATTTTGCGGGAAAAGTGTGAATTAGTTGACGTAGCCTGTAAAGCAGCACTCAACATGCAAACAATCATTCTTCTCCATATCATTATGCTGTAATATAACGGTGCAACCAACATGCAATTTTTCCTAATCTATAAATTAAGCGTTATCATCTTGCCTTGGGTATAAATAAAAAAAAGTTAATCTAAGGCCGCCAAACAACACCAGACAGTATACTATTCTTCAATGCAAATTACTTCCAGGAATTATTAAAGTAAAAACTTCTCCTTAATCTCGAATTACTCGCTAAGATCGTCACATATGATAATAAACCGTGTTGCCGGAATTTCCCCGTTATTTATGATAGTATATAAAGCACGCGATAAGCTAAACAGTATCAATTACGCGCTACCGCGATGTACTTCATTTTCCTTGCCTTACTGTCTACCTCCTGGGTGGCTGGTCATCGAAACAATCAAAATCCCGTAGTGAATATTTCGTGTGGTAGTATTCAGGGGAGTGTGATTCGCAGCGTTCTCGGCAAGTCGATCTACTCCTTCAGAGGGATCCGTTACGCGAATGCACTTCGATTTGAGGTAAAATTCCACCCCAGCTGTACAGGCTTTTAACACCTTTGCATTTTGAAGCCTCCGGTACCTGCAGAGAAATGGGACGGCGTATACGATGCTACCAAAGATGGACCGCTTTGTCCACAACCCGGTGATATACCAATCTCAGAAGACTGTCTCCGACTAAACGTGTACACGACCAAGGTCCGTATTATCCAGTTACCAATTATTTCTGAAAGCGCGATTCGTAGCTACCCTCCGCCCATCACAGGCCGAAACGGCCGGTTATGTTCTACATCCACCCGGGCGGTTTTTACGGTTTGTCATCAGTCAGCAAATGGCTGGGACCTCAGTACTACCTCGACCAAGACGTAGTACTGGTAACCATCAACTACAGATTGGGATCATTGGGTAGTAGAATTGCGGTAGCGTTCAAAGTGCTCACCTAGAATTTTAGGGTTCCTCAGCACAGGTGATCGCTCAGCACCCGGAAATAACGGGCTAAAAGATCAGGTTGTCGCATTGACGTGGGTCAAGGAGAACATTCATTTATTCGGGGGAGATCCGAATTTGGTGACGATCTTTGGTTATAGTGCCGGAGGTGTAAGTGTGGGCACCCACCTGGTATCACCAATGTCGAGAGGTAACACTTTCATTTGGAGTAAGCGTCTAATTCGAAATCGCAGGGTTGTTCCATCGCGCGATTGCAATGAGCGATCTAGTCTTCGGGCAATGGCCCATAGGAAACCATCAGTTCCACCTTGCACAGAAGCAGGCTCGACTAGTGGGATGCCCGGACGATACTTCCGAAAATATACTGAAATGCCTTAGGACGAAAAGTGCCAAGGAGATAGGAGATTCTCTGAGTGGATTTGCGGTAATTATTCTCTTTTAATTCATTTCGTAAACCTCACTGTAGGAGTATGGAGGCGATCCGGTTTTATTATGGACGCCAGTAATTGAATTAAATTTCGGCCAAGAGCGATTTTTGACGGAACATCCAGTTAAAAGCGTTCTCAACGGAAATTTCCACAAAGTTCCGATAATGGCGGGAATTACCGAGGAAGAGTTTTCTTATCTCGCGCTGGGTAACCAGGTACAATTATCCCTGATCATTGTGATCGTGGATTTTAGGTGTAGTGGGCAATCCAGACTTGTTAAGGGTAATGGATGAGGAATTTGACCGAGTTGCCCCTATTGCATTTATCTACGAACGCAATACAACAAGATCTAAGGCTATCAGTAAGAGGCTAAGAGAGGAATTTTTGAGATCAGGACCTTTAACTCAATCTTCCCTTAAAGGCCTTGGATATGTGAGTATTGGCAAAAGAACACCCTTGTATGTACGTCATTGATTGTAGCTCTACGCCGACAGCTTGGTAGGATTTGGTGTGAATCGTGGGATTAAATTATTAGCCGCCAAAAACACGGAGTGCACCTACTACTATCGTTTTAGCTATCCGGGTAGGTATAGCCACTTTTACTGGCCCAACACAACTACACCATACGGTGAGTGCGGTTAATTGCAAGGAAGTTTGCGTCAACTATGTTTAGGGGTGGTGCACCACGATGATTTGATTTACTTATTTTACTCGGAAATCTTCCCCAAGCTAAATACGAGCGATCCAGAGTACGCAATGGTTAGGAAACTAACAACGTTGCAAACTAACTTTGCATATACTGGGTGAGTATATTATGCTCTCCAGAACACGTGATATGATTGTAGATCGGCATCAGGTTTTCTGTGGCCGGCATTCTCTCCTATACGTATAGGCAGATATTAACGTGTATGATTTTTAAGGAACCCCACTCCGTCAAGGATTGAGATTCTTGAACGCAAGCTATGGGCTCCCATTACTGCATCAAATAACGTGTACATGGATATTGGTACAAATTTAACTATGAAAAGGGATCTTTATGAAGATCGTTATTCAGTTTGGGATAGCTTATTTCCATTGAAAGATTATTTATAATAAAGTCTATTGGATGAGTTCTTTGCTTGCTTGTTAAATAATAAATAGAAAATAATATTTTCTGCGTAATTGAATTCTATAGCGCGTTGACTGTTAAATGAGCTTCGGAACTCTTAAGCCAGCGTAAATAATTTTTTCTTAATTAGTTTTACGTGCCCCCGACTGCAAAATCAGGATGAGATCATTGCCTGTTCGTGGGAATGCAAGTATTAATCCGGGGAAGAAGTTTGGGCTGTTTTTGACTAAGAAAAAGTTAATCGCACCAATGACCGCGAAAAGTCGTTCTGGGGTCAGGGGTTCAGGGGGTAAGCGAATTAATTAAAAGTGGAAAAATATCCATTTAAATGGGCTCAACTTGATTAGCCATAAGGTGTATTCTGTGCAAAAAATTAATGTATACTTTGCAAATAAGTATAGTTCAAAAAACGTAGCCATAATTGCCATGAATTAGTTTATTTTTTTGGAATTGATAGTAAAAGGTATTAAAAAACAACTAACAGACGTTTCATGGTAATTTTGCGGCGAACTTCGGTAGCCAGTGTATGCTGAATATATGTAAATGAAACCGAAATGAAATTAGTTGGATCCCAAAAAAGATCAATTTTAATTCGCAATACAAATCAATGACTTGAAATATTTTACGAATATTCGGTAGTCGGCAGAACGTTGCGGTACACTCGTTGGAACGGTACGGTTCTCTCGGGCGCCACCAGGGGTTTCAATCCTTGATCTTGGTCAACGGTCTCAAAAACTACGGGTAGTCAAACAGAAAAAAAACGGAAAATGGTCCCCATAAATCGTGCCCTTACCTAAAATTTTCCAAAATACGGGAAGATGACGGGAATTCCGACCGGCCGACGTACTCGGGTGATGACAATGACGTCCAAAAATTCTGATTTTAATTTTCAAGCTCCCGGGACATATCTCAAAATCCATATTAATTAAACGCACTTCTAACTACACTAGAAACAATCTAATCAGACGACGTTTGTTACAACAGAATTAATTAACTAGGGTTAATTGTGCTCACTTAATTGACCGGATTAAAATGTCCAAATTCGCTAGCCCAGTTACGTGGAATTTCGGGTCAATCTCAAATGGTCTGCGATAATGAAATTAACTGCACAACCTGCATCTTTAATGTATGTTTTCACTTAACATTGGGAAAGGAAAATCGGTAATTAGTGAAGAAGGGAACTGAAGTCATACAATATTAATTTTCTCTTGTTTGCCAAGGGACGATAGCTTTCGGAGGCTACAAGAATAATTAAAATCTCTACGGGAACAATACTAGAAACTTCACAAGTATGTTCGGCAGCTGGTTTGCCATCCCAGCGGTTAAAACGGCTCTACAAAACAGATATTCTAAAGAAAATGTAGAACAGGCATTGTACCAAGGTACTAGCTGAAATAATCGGACTATTAAGATTCATACTAAATGGGATTCATCGATATACAGGTCTCCGTGCAACGATTCAATATAAAGCGGCATTTAAAAACAATATCGCGAAGGAAAAATCTTAAACAATTTTCTTAAAGAAACATTCTCTAAAGGAAGATAGGCACTCAGGGCCGGAAAAACAACTACCACGCTACAAGCGATCGGTAGTAACAAATAATTATAGAAACCTTTGATCCTTGCATCCGGTCAATTGAGATAGTCTTTACACAGACGCACTAACACAAATACTTACCACCGAATTTCGGAATTTCAGCCCGCCCATTTGGTTGAGTATGATTAAATATATTTAATTAGTTGTGTTGCAGGAAACCTCGTCTGATTAGATTGTGTCTGATGTCAAATGAAGCGCGCCTAATTGGCATAAATTTTTAGGCTGATCATAGATTTTTAGGATAATAGGGAGTCGAGTAATTAATTAAAACATTCATTTTTCCATCGACTTAAAACAAGTTGATTTTCTATGAATGTTAGAGATAGGAGTATAGTCTTTGCTATATTTTTTGATAATTTGTCCATTGCACCTCTTAATATAATGAAGGTAGGGTCACTTTCACTTTTACAAGGATATAATAAGTCTTGAACATGAAATTCTTGAGCCATATATATACGCAAAGGTAATGTAATGAATATCTCGAAAATCTGAAATGCACCATGAGATTTTTTACAGTTTTCCCTGATTTGGTTCTTTTCCTCGTTTATAATGATATTTCGTGGTGTCTCCTTCTGAGGGTGCTGCGTAAGCAAATTGAATTGTCTTTAGTCTTAGTTTTAACATCTATGCCGCAGTGATAAATCGTGAAATTTATGCTTGCCTTTAAATGCGTTATAAATATAAGAACAATTTATTTCGTATAAGTAAATCGCGTAATTACATGTAACTAATTAAAACTAGCAATGTGCAGTTATATTAACATACTGAATTAACTGAACGAAACTGGGGTTTATTTAAAAGCTGAACTAGTGACAAAAGGTTCCATTTTTGCCATCCAATGGTATTTTGACGCTCCCCTGAGATAAAGAAATCTTTTCGATGCAGTAATCAAGGTTATCAAACGTGATAAAAATTCCATAAATAAAACTGCTGCGAGGTCATGGTGACTGCAACACAAAACTAGTCTATGGTCAACTTTTAAACGGTTGTTTTTCCCTATTTATAAATGCAAATTACTTTCTGGAATCGTTAAAGCCAAATAGTGCTAATCGCGAATTAACAATGATAATAAACAGTGTTGTTGGAATTTCCCCTTTATCCAAGCTATAAAGCATACGCGACCGGAAAAACAGTAGTAACCACTACGTGGTACGCCTTTGACGATCATGTACATTATTTTTTTTGCATTACTGTCGATTTCCCGTGCGCCATCATTAAATGGTCACCGAACTAACCACAATCCCATAGTGAATACGTCCTGTGGAAGCATTCAAGGGAGTGTTATCCGAAGCGTCCTCGGTAAGTCGATTTACTCCTTCAGAGGGATTCGTTATGCGAAAGCACCGGTTGATGAGCTTCGGTTTGAGGTAAGTCTCCACTTCAGCTGCGGTAGCTTGTAACCTCTTTGAAGCCTCCAGTGCCTGCAGAGAAATGGGAAGGCTTGTACGATGCGACCAAAGACGGACCGCTTTGCCCACAACCTGGCGACATACCAATTTCTGAAGACTGCCTTCGATTAAACGTGTACACGACCAAAGTAAGTCCAAACACAGTCAGTCAGTAGTAGTCTAACAGCATTCTTCAGCTACCCTCAGCGCATCACAATCCAAAACGGGCGGTGATGTTCTACATGCATCCCGGTGGTTTTTACGCTTTCTCATCCGTCAGTAAATGGACCGGCCCCCAATACTACCTCGACCAAGACGTGGTGCTGGTCACCATCAACTACAGATTAGGCTCACTAGGTACTGGTGACCGTGACGTTCAAAATGCTCATGCCCACTTTTAGGTTTTCTTAGTACAGGTGATCGTCTAGCTCCCGGAAACAACGGATTAAAAGATCAGGTGGTCGCTTTGAAGTGGGTCAAAGAGAACATTCGCGCTTTTGGAGGTGACCCAAATTTGGTGACCATTGTTGGTTACAGTGCCGGAGGTGTAAGCGTGGCCTCACATTTACTGTCGCCAATGTCTAAAGGTAACGCTTTTGCTTCCGAGCGGTTACAAAATTCCACTTCGCAGGATTATTTCATCGAGCCATCGCCATGAGTGCCATGGTCTTTGGTCAAACGCCCATAGGAAACCACCAGTACCATCTCGCGCAGAAGCAGGCTCGATTGGTGGGATGCCCGGACGATACTTCGGAAAATATACTCAAGTGCCTAAGGACGAAGAGTGCCAAGGAGCTGGGAGATTCCCTAGGAGGCTTTGCTGTAATTTTCTACGCCTTCAACTATTTTTATTAACGTAAGTTGTAGGAGTACGGTAGCGATCCAGTTTCAATCTGGACGCCAGTGATTGAATTGGATTTTGGACAAGAGCGGTTTTTCACAGAGCATCCGATTAAAAATGCCCTTAACGGTAATTTCCAGAAAGTTCCGATCATGGCGGGCATTACAACAGAAGAGTTTTCCTATCAGGCTTTAGGTAACGGGCATAACCCAATTGCTTCACCGGTGAAAAATAAATCTTCTAGGAGTAGTCAACAATCCGCAATTGCTAAGGGAAATGGATGAAGAATTCGACAGAGTGGCTCCAATTGCATTTGTCTACGAGCGCAACACTACAAGATCGAAAGCTATCAGTAGAAAGTTAAGGGAGGAGTTTTTGGGACCGGGACCCTTGACCCAGTCGTCCCTCAAAGGTCTTGGATATGTAAGTACATGCAGTAAGGAGAGACTTTTACTCAAACCTTGTAGCTCTACGCAGACGGCGTGGTTGGGTTCGGTGTTAACCGTGGAATTAAAATGTTGGCCGCCAAGAACACGGAGTGCACCTACTACTATCGGTTCAGCTACCCGGGTAGATTTAGTTACTTTTATTTACCCAACACAACCACACCATACGGTGAGCACTATCACGTTGTGATAATGAATGCACGAACTAAATTTAGGGGTTACGCACCATGACGATTTGATTTACATGTTTTACTCTGAGATCTTCCCCAAGTTCAATACGAGTGATCCTGAGTACGAGATGGTAAAGAAATTAACAACGCTGCAAGTGAACTTTGCTTACACAGGGTGAGTATGCGTTCTTTAAGGGCGTGTTAGTGACTTTTCTATATAGGAACCCTACCCCTTCGAGAAGTGCTCTTCTTGATCACACGTTATGGACTCCTATTACTCCCCGGAATGATGTCTACATGGACATCGGTTTACAGTTGAAAATGAAGAAGGGTCTGTACGAAGAACGTTATTCAGTTTGGAATAGCTTATTCCCGTTATCTGATTTTATGTAGTGCACTCTGTTACTTATCCAATAAATTTAGTTTCTGCTGAAATGGCTCTTCCTGTTGTGAACAATCTTATTTATCCCTTTATTCCATTAAGGGCCACTTTTGCAAACTCTTGCTAACTGACAAAACACTTCCATGGAGACGATTATGAGCGCAATTTTTTACCGAGTGAAATACATTTTCAGCAATCTTAATGCAAACAAACACATTGCAAATGGGTTGCCTTCAAAAACTAAGTCAACCCTTAATTAAAATTACTGTAATATTTCTGTCTGCTTCTATCACATGGATGGAGAGCGTCCTTCTCTTTCACACGAAACAATACACATATTTCCATCTCGTGCGCTACTTAAAATTGTGGCAAACATGTGAAAGAGAAGGACGCAGAGTAACAACTGCTCGTGTTGTACACATGCGCTCTTGACTTCACTTAAATTTGTTAGGCAACCTATTTGCAATATGTTTGTTTACATATTAAAATTGCTAAAAAATGTATTTCACTTGGTAAACAGATCGGCAGACCTTATGCGGGATCTTAGACTATAAGAATTGTAGAAAATCAATCAAGGGCAGTTTAAGAGTTGTTTATACATTATTTAAACATAATCTATCAACGAAATAAAAATGTTTACTGTATTACGAAATTTACAACCCCCGCATTCTAAGTATCCTATAAGTTATAGTGTGAATTACTTAAAATAATTTGTAAGCTTAGAGCATACGGAAATTTATTATTCAACAGCAGTTTAAGGGTTGTTTATACATTATTTAAACATAATCTTATGGAGTTGTTTTTGCAGATATGTTTTGTTAGTGCCAGGGACCCGGACCTAAACGAAATAGCGGTTCAGGTTCTGTTGATATTTAAGCGAAAATATTTATAACGGTTCCGGTTCGGTTTCGGTTCTAAAAAGAAATAACGGTTCGGTTTTGCGCATTTTTTTCGGTCCATAACGGTTATTTTCCGTTCTAGTTTTTCAGATAGTATGGCATTCAAAAAATTCATTATAACAACGTGATTTATTAATTAATAGGTGTGAAGAAAATGTCATGAATACCAAAACGTGACGTATAGTTAGTGTAACTAATTTATAACGACAAGGGGAATAAAGGAGGAAGACGGAAATATGTATTTACACTTAATTTATTACTAAAAAACAGAAAATGTTATTTTCTAAAACGTCGCCCCTCCTTTTTTATTTTTTTTAAGTAGAGGCTAAATCAGCGCCACCGCCACCCGTAATGCCTTCAATTTCGACACTTTATTAAAAATTTATAATCCACCGATGGCAATCATAGAGCAATATTTTATCAATTTTCAGGATGTGGTTACCGGCGCGTCCTTCAACTTCCAATAACCTGTTAAAAACGGTAAAAAAACCGAAAAAAGTATTATGGGTTCCGGTTTTCAATACGTTTCCATTTCTGAAGGAATACCGGTTTCGGTTCGGTTTTCGGTCCAGAAAAAAATATCGGTTTCGGTCCGGTTTTCGGTTCTTTTTCGGTCCGGTCCGGATCCCTGTTTAGTGCTTGGTACCTATAAAAATAAAGGGTCACCGTGTATGTAAACTATAAATTTTTTAGGGTCAATTTGGTTGCTAGTAGTAAATTAAACACAAAGTTCGTTCTTTTTATTAAAATTTGACGTTTCATCGTTTTGTAATTTGTTTATTTAATTGTAAAAGGTAGAAATATATGGTTGTATTTGCCCATTATATTAAAAGGTTTATTTGGCCATTGCGATAAGGACATTTGTTATCGCGTTGCGTAAAATGAAATTTAATTAGTTTCAAGATAAGCGCGTTTTCTGACCGATATGAAAACAACAGGTGTGCAGTTTATTTCGAAGTTGGCGGTATTTAAATTTGGTTTTGATTAGCTGGTTGTTTACGAAATGTTTGGGCAGTCAGTCCAAGGATTTGGACACGCCATTCGGCGTTGTCCTAATAAAGTTTTGTAGAAAGAAGTTCAGTAAGGCTAAGGGATTTACAACTTCCCAAAGTGAGGTAACAAAATTCATAAAAAATTTAAAGCATTTCATCCGTATTCGATAAAATCAATCGTTCGAGTGTGCGCCTTTCTACAAGGTTCTCCAAGTATTCGCTAAAGCAAGTTGTTTCTCCCCACCATTCGACAAACCACAAATCTTACAAAACCAGTTCGTGTTATCAATAACAGTAGAAGGAAATTTTGTGATTTTGTCAACAAGAACATCACAGTTAATGACCAGATTATTGGATTATTAAAAACTGGAAGTAATTGAGATTTTTTTTAATTAATTGTCTATCGATCGCTTGCATGCCTGGTATGTGGAAATCAGGCCCTAAAAGCCTCTCTTCCTTTTAGTCTTGTCGATTTGTGTGTAGCCCGAACAAAACTTATATTATGTGATAATGAACAATTTTGTGTTTAATTGAATCCCAAATTTTACGACCCAAACTTAGAATGTTCTTGTTAAATTTGATATTTGAGCCCAAATTTCCTTAAATAATTTCTTGGAGTTGTTGAATGTGATCCAGGTTGCTGAGATTCCTAAAACTTGCACATGCGGTATATTATGTAGGATCTGTAAATACTGTAGGATCTGTTCATTTTGAAGCTCCTGCGATTACTTTCTAGTCCTGCAGTTTCTCTCTTTTTTGGTGACGGAACCTTTTTAAGAAACTAAATTTTTAACATTCCAATGACATCTGTAATTCTTATTAATAATGGGACGTGGAGCACGACATAAATTATGTTCAGAACAGAATACCATATTTTTCCATGAAAACCTAAGCTTGCTATTGTGGACGTCTAAATTAAGTGCCTACAGAATTTTCAGTTCCATAATGACCTGCTATAAAATAAGGTTTTGTACTATACACTCGCCGATAAAGAGAAGCCATCTCAGTTGATTCACTCAGTGGTTACATCATTTTATTGTCGTGTATATAAACGAACTATTTATTTTTACCCAAAATCGTCCTGAAACCTTGATTTCCATGCCTACTTTCTGTCAGGAAATTTTAGTTTCCATGACAGAGGCAGAGTTTCCTGCCGCTTGTCACTTTACTGGTCGCGTTTGTCACTTTACCGGCCGCATTTTTGACATTTCCAAATGTCTATAATGACTCCTGTTATCACGGACAGATTAACATTAATCAAAAGTTCTATTTAAAAATTGAAATTTTATATTAAAATACGATTTTGGGTAAAATTTAAGACAAAACCCGTCAGTAAAATGACATTACCTGACTCGGAAATTAAAGTACTCGATCCCAAAGGGGCCTCGCACTTAAATATTGCCTCGCCAGTAATGTCATTTTCCGGACTTTTATGTAAATAACTATTATCTTAGGTACCCCGCAATATGTAAAAAATTCTGGGCGTATTTGTATATACAGTTTTAATTTTAACCTAGCTATAAACGCTATTTGTAAATATAAACTTTGTGTAAACGAAATTTAACAAGATTTCCCAAATGCTATCTCATTTTATCTAACTAGTGTAAATCCTTTCCAGGAACTGTTTGAAAATTATTAATTGCGGTCGCGAACAAAAAACACATCGGAATTTCCCACTGGAGGTCAAGTTCATTATATATAGTGATCTACTAAGTTGAAAGCATAGTTGCAATTTAAAGCATGAAGTCGCTGTTACTTTTCTTAATTTCCTTCTATTTAGCCAGTGGAAACCATGAATGCCCCATGGTCAGCACCCCATCCGGTGATCTTCAAGGAAGTATCATCCTCAGTGTCCTCGGCAAGCCGATCTATTCATTTAGAGGGATTCGATATGCAAAGGCGCCCGTTGACGAGCTCAGATTTCAGGTAGCGTCATTTTGCTTTTCCGTTTTGCTAACGAGGTACTCTTAAGCCCCCGGTTCCTGTAGGGAAATGGAACGGTGTTTATGACGCGAGCAAAGATGGACCTGCGTGTCCGCAACCAGGGAATTTAACAATTTCTGAAGATTGTCTCCTGCTGAATGTCTACACGACCAAGGTAAGGTTTAATGATCAAAAGCTTCGAGGTAAAATTAAGTTCGACAGCTACCCTCGGCGCATCACAACCCGAAACGACCGGTTTTATTCTACATTCACCCCGGGGGTTTTTATGGGCTGTCGTCTGTGAGTAAATGGGTGGGCCCGCATTACTACCTGGACCAAGACATCGTTCTTGTGACCATCAACTACAGATTGGGCTCCTTGGGTTTCATCAGCACAGGGGATCACTGGGCGCCCGGCAATAACGGCATGAAAGACCAGGTGGTCGCATTGAAGTGGGTGAAAGAGCACATTGCCTCCTTTGGAGGTGATCCGAATTTGGTGACGATTGTTGGCTACAGCGCAGGGAGTCGGAGCGTGTATGCGCACGTGGTCTCCCCCATGTCGAGAGGATTGTTTCATCGAGCCATAGCCATGAGTGCGCACTTCTTTGGCCAACTGCCCCCAGTAAACCACCAATTTCCTATTGCACAAAAGCAAGCCCGTTTGGTAGGATGCCCGGATGATACATCCGAAAATATCATCAAATGTTTGAAGACAAAAAGTGCCAAAGAGATAGCGGATACTTTGCGTGGATTTTCGGTAATTCTTTTCCCTTCCGTGCCTATTTCCAACAAGCCACTTTTAGGAGTTTGGAATCGATCCAGTTGTCGTGTGGTGGCCAGTTGTGGAATTAGATTTCGGCCAGGAGCGGTTCTTGACCGAGGCTCCACTTAAAAGCGTTCTTAAGGGAAACTTCCATAAAGTTCCCATAATGGGCGGCCTAACAGTGGACGAATTTTCTTATCGGGCTTTAGGTAATAGAAGTTGTGTTTTATACGTGCCATAAACTAAAGTATTCCTCAGGACTCGTGAACAATCCAGAATTGCTAAAAACCATGGACGAAGAGTTCGACAGGGTGGCTCCTATAGCGTTTATTTACGAGCGCAATACGACAAGATCTAAAACTGTCAGCCGGAAGTTAAGGGAGGAGTTCTTGGGATTAGAGCCGCTAAGCCAATCGTCGGTTCAAGGTGTTGGCCACGTGAGTATTTTTACCTCGACATCAAACTCTCGGAATTTCTCCTTCTCAAGAGACTCCTTTGTCAATAATTTAATTCATACACGATCAAACGGCTTCTAAGATAAGAAGTTAGCAAGGAGGAGGGCTATGGTTGGTAGAAATTAATTCCTTTCGTTAGAGTACCATAAAGGATAAAACTAGTTCCAATCCCCCCCCTCCCCCACCGCTCCGTACTTTGATAAGAGGACAGGAAGAAGGGCAGTAGTTGGTAGAAGCTGGTTCTTTTCGTTGAGGACCTTTAATTAGAATACAATGAGAGATAAAATTAATTTGTGTTATCTTTAATGTTTGGGTATCAGGAGATGTAAATGGGGTAATTTCGATACATTCCCAAAGTTAACACGGTACATTACGGTCAACCATGTAATACCAACTCGCTTTTCAAATTGTTGAAATCTCACATATTTTTTCAAAATGAATTCATTTGTAATTTCTTTGTCACTGGTCCAAATTAGGTTCAAAAAATGAAGCCAGTATAAAATAATTATAATGATCCCCATTAACTCAAAGTGATTTTTCAGTTATACGCCGATGGAATAGGAGGATTCGGTATTAATCGAGGAATTAAAGCGCTAGCTGCAAAAAACACGGAATGCACTTACTACTACCGGTTCAGCTACCAGGGTAGATTCAGCTACTTCTACTTACCCAACACCACTACACCGTACGGTACGTACTCAGCACCCGACATAATTACGCGACGATCATTTTTCAGGGGTCGTACATCACGACGATTTGCTTTATTTGATCTACTCGGAAAGATTCCCCAAGTTAAACACAAGTGACCCAGAGTACGCGATGGTTAGGAAACTGACAACGCTTCACACGAACTTTGCTTATACAGGGTACGTCAAAATCGTTCGCTAAGCTGTAATTATATAATTTGTTTAACAGAAACCCGACCCCATCAAAAAGTGCGCTTTTTGATAACGAACTATGGGTACCGATTACTCCCGAAAATAACGCATACATGGAGATTGGTAAAAAATTAAAGATGAAGAAGAATCTAAATGAAGAACGGTATTCAGTGTGGCGTGAACTATTCCCTCTGTCCGATTACCAATAGCCTTCTCCGAAACTGAGTAGAGTACGTTTGGAAATGTAGACACTCTTACTGGTAATGCATATAAGCTCGATGTACTTTAATGCCAATAAAATCTATAAGATGCGTTTATTATTCGAAATTTATTAACGACCGGCCTAGATCTCGTATATGATTTTGGATCTTCTATCCATCCGTCCGCCCGTCCCTCTTGAACAGTTTATTTAAATATACAAAACTTTAAATGACTTCCTATATTATCGACGAATGGGAAGTGTAGATGCGATCGAGGACCAACTAATTAAGCGCGCCAGTATATTATCATACCATTAGTAGGAGAGCCCACGATGCTAAATGGGGATTTACTCGAGCTATTGAACTGTTTAGATTAGATAGTAGAAAGAAATAAAGTTATATGACATCCTTCCACCGGTCGGGGGTGCGTCCGCACCTTTTTAATAATAGACAAAAAATAGTCACATGAAAATACTCGAGCGCGTTAGATATTGATAGTGCATATGCCCCAGGTGATATTTGGGTTTGCATGGGGAGGCTTTATGGAAGGGTAGAAAACCGAATTTACTTGAGCGCGTCAGATATTTAGAGAGGATGTTAAGTGAACCCCAAAAAAGTTCTTATTCACGAGACTGACGATTTGAACCTGACGCAAGCTCGGGGCGGCTTTTTGAAAATGCAAAAAATTGAAAAATATTCGATTCGAAGTAAGGTTCAAGTCAGTTCAATAAACCATGGCCACGAAAACTACTCTACAATTTATAGAATACACAAATTAACAGATTCATAAAAGCCTCAGGGTCTACAGACATCAAAAGTTATAGACTAGAAACCAATTTCGAAAGAAAATTCAAAGGGCTGTAACTTTTGAACTAGTAGCCCAATCTTGGAACTGTTTGAAATTATGGATTCTACAGGCCACATTCTATAAGAAAATTTTTTTTCCGGGTCGATCTGAGACAATTTTTTTTTCGGGGCTCAAAAAAAGGCAGTGTATAACCTTCCTTTTTTACTAAAAATCGACTGCACCAAAATTTCTCGGGAAAACACTTTTTCTTATTAATTTTGGTGCGTAGAATCCAAAACAATTCGTACTTTTTCGATCGGACTTCTCAATCAAAAGTTATAGACTACAAACCAATTTCGAAAGAAAATTCAAAGGGCTGTAACTTTTGAACTAGTAGCCCAATCTTGGAACTGTTTGAAATTATGGATTCTACAGGCCACATTCTATAAGAAAAATCTTTTTTCCGGGTCGATCTGAGACAATTTTTTTTTCGGGGCTCAAAAAAAGGCAGTGTATAACCTTCCTTTTTTACCAAAAATCGACTACACCAAAATTTCTCGGGAAAACACTTTTTCTTATTAATTTTGGTGCGTAGAATCCAAAACAATTCGTACTTTTTCGATCAGACTTCTCAATCAAAAGTTATAGACTAGAAACCAATTTCGAAAGAAAATTCAAAGGGCTGTAACTTTTGAACTAGTAGCCCAATCTTGGAACTGTTTGAAATTATGGATTCTACAGGCCCCATTCTATAAGAAAATTTTTTTCCGGGTCGATCTGAGACAATTTTTTTTGAGGGCCTCAAAAAAAGGCAGTGTATAACCTTCCTTTTTTACCAAAAATCGACTACACCAAAATTTCTCGGGAAAACACTTTTTCTTATTAATTTTGGTGCGTAGAATCCAAAACAATTCGTACTTTTTCGATCAGACTTCTCAATCAAAAGTTATAGACTAGAAACCAATTTCGAAAGAAAATTCAAAGGGCTGTAACTTTTGAACTAGTAGCCCAATCTTGGAACTGTTTGAAATTATGGATTCTACAGGCCACATTCTATAAGAAAATTTTTTTTCCGGGTCGATCTGAGACAATTTCTTTTGGGCTTCAAAAAAAGGCAGTGTATAACCTTCCTTTTTTACCAAAAATCGACTGCACCAAAATTTCTCGGGAAAACACTTTTTCTTATTAATTTTGGTGCGTAGAATCCAAAACAATTCGTACTTTTTCGATCAGACTTCTCAATCAAAAGTTATAGACTAGAAACCAATTCCGAAAGAAAATTCAAAGGGCTGTAACTTTTGAACTAGTAGCCCAATCTTGGAACTGTTTGAAATTATGGATTTTACAGGCCACATTCTATAAGAATTTTTTTCCGGGTCGATATATCTGAGACAATTTTTCTTGAGGGCCTCAAAAAAAGGCAGTGTATAACCTTCCTTTTTTACCAAAAATCGACTGCACCAAAATTTCTCGGGAAAACACTTTTTCTTATTAATTTTGGTGCATAGAATCCAAAACAATTCGTACTTTTTCGATCGGACTTCTCAATCAAAAGTTATAGACTAGAAACCAATTTCGAAACAAAATTCAAAGGGCTGTAACTTTTGAACTAGTAGCCCTATCTTGGAACTGTTTGAAATTATGGATTCTACAGGCCACATTCTATAAGAAAATTTTTTTCCGGGTAGATCTGGGACAATTTTTTTTGAGGGCCTCAAAAGAAGGAAGTGAACAACCTTCCTTTTTTACCAAAAATCGACTGCACCAAAATTTCTCGGGAAAACACTTTTTCTTATTAATTTTGGTGCGTAGAAACCAAAACAATTCGTACTTTTTCGATTAGACTTCTCAATCAAAAGTTATAGACTAGAAACCAATTTCGAAAGAAAATTCAAAGGGCTGTAACTTTTGAACTAGTAGCCCAATATTAGAACTGTTTGAAATTATGGATTCTACAGGCCACTTTCTATAAGAAAAATCTTTTTTCCGGATCGATCTGAGACAATTTTTTTTTCGGGGCTCAAAAAGGCAGTGTATAACCTTCCTTTTTTACCAAAAATCGACTACACCAAAATTTCTCGGGAAAACACTTTTTCTTATTAATTTGGGTGCGTAGAATCCAAATCAATTCGTACTTTTTCGATCCAACTTCTCAATCAAAAGTTATAGACTAGAAACCAATTTCGAAAGAAAATTCAAAGGGCTGTAACTTTTTAACTAGTAGCCCAATCTTGGAACTGTTTGAAATTATGGATTCTACAGGCCACATTCTATAAGAAAATTTTTTTTCCGGGTCGATCTGAGACAATTTTTTTTCGAGCCTCAAAAAAAGGCAGTGTATAACCTTCCTTTTTTACCAAAAATCGACTACACCAAAATTTCTCGGGAAAACACTTTTTCTTATTAATTTTGGTGCGTAGAATCCAAAACAATTCGTACTTTTTCGATCAGACTTCTCAATCAAAAGTTATAGACTAGAAACCAATTTCGAAAGAAAATTCAAAAGGCTGTAACTTTTGAACTAGTAGCCCAATCTTGGAACTGTTTGAAATTATGGATTCTACAGGCCACATTCTATAAGAAAAATTTTTTTCCGGTCGATCTCAGACAAATTTTTTTCCGGCCTCAAAAAAAGGCAGTAGGTACTTTTAAGTTATTCAAATATTTGAGAACAATTTAGAAATGTTTAGGGAAAGTTTCCATTGTCACAAAATCAAATATAAAAATCCGATACATCTGAATACCGAACTCGATAGTCTACGTAACTTAAAAACAATAGGGACCTTTCTTATATCCTTAAGACCATTGTACCAATTTTCAAAGCGATCGCACGTTTCTAAACAAGTTATCATGCACACGGACAAGCGGATGGTCAAAAATGGATCTGTTCCAAAATCGCTAGGATTAATTTCAGAAAGGCGTACGTATCATGTGCACGACGTACGATCGCTTTGAAAACTGGTACACGTATTCTTAAGGATATAACTGGTATAAGAAAGGTCCTGGTAGGTACCTCCTATATAATAATATAATAATAATAATACGCTTTTACTCCCCTTAAATTTGTATATAACAATAGAAATATAAAAAAAGCTAACCCCATACAAAGTATAACGTGATTTTTTAAGTAGTATTAAGCCTTTTATCTAGTATACTATTTTAAATTTTTAATGTTTTTGAGTGACAAGTATTTGAATACTTTTTACTGTATTCGAATAGGTACTTATTTTTCAAAGTAAGATAATGAAATACTTTTCAAAGGATTCGAATACTTTTTATAGTATTCGAATACTTATTTTTTTAAGTATTTGAATACTTTTCAATGTATCTGTAGGTATCTAGTATTCGCTTGTGCTGGACGTAAAAGTTTTTAGTATTCAAATACCTTTGATTTGTGTAAAGTATTTACTATTTAGTATTCAAATACTTTTTGAAAGTATTCTGCCCAGCTCTGGAAGCCGTTGAGGTTGCATGCCTCTTGCGATGCCTCCAACAATGCGACAAATCCGGTCTCCGCAGTTGACACTTTAACAGTGAAAGACGAATTTGTTTCCGACATGCCCATGATACAGTATCGAGTCGAGTTCCTTTAGTTAGCATGACCTTTCTCTACACAATCGGGTGCAGACCAGCGCCTCCTTTAGCGTCTTCTGCTTCTCCAGAACTCCCGTTTCTGTCGCAGAAGCGAGCAGGCAGTTGTCCTGGCAGACCTCAAGGTATTCTCTTCAACAGGCGTTGCATCTTCCCAGACGCTCTCTTCATCCTGACCCGCTACGGGAACTGTGGCATACTGAGACACATACACTCAGATAGAGCCACAGCTCATAAAGTTCAGGTCTTTAGCTTTGCAACGCTATGTAACAGCTTTAAACAAAGGCAACAGTAAACGTCAACGCCGAAGGGATGAACGTGGCTTCGATTTGGTTTTGCTCCATACCAGCGTTCAATGGTGTCACAGGGATCGTACTAGAATTAAGGGAGACAATTTTGAAGATAGTTCGTAGTTGCTATGGCTTTATCCCAGAACCGATAGTAGAGTTCGGCCTCGATTAACATGCTCCGAGCCATCTCTACTAAATAACACGCGACCATCATATTATGTACCTCCTTTGCGCTGGTCAGTTATGTCGACTTGACTTATCATAAAACAGAAGAGACGATGTCAGTTTTGTTTTATTACGCCACTGCCAATTATGCCGCGTTTCTCCCCACTCTTATAACTTCCTTTTTATCCATCTCCTGCACTTTTAATGCAAGGTTCTTTTTTTATTTTTTACTCGTAGCATTTTAGGTTGCCACTAATCTCCACAATCACGAATAAGTGAAGTGA